AATAGCCAAAGTAAAATTGAAGAAGAAAGCCAAAATGGGAGGCATCACCATCCCAGACTTTAGCCTCTACTACAAAGCTGTCATCATCAAGGCAGTATGGTACTGGCACAAAAACAGACACACAGACAAATGTAATAGAATTGAGAACTCAGAATTGGACCCAAAAGTATACAGCCAACTAATCTTTGACAAAGAGTATCCAATGGAAAAAAGACAGCCTCTTTAACAGATGGTGCTGGGAGAACTGGACAGCAACATGCCAAAGAATGAAAGTATATCAATCTCTCACACCATACACAAAAATAAACTCAAAATGGATAAACGACCTGAACGTGAGACAGGAAACCATCAAAACCCTAGAGGAGAAAGCAGGAAACAAGCTCCTTGACCCCCACCACAGAAATTTCTTACTTGACACATCCTCAAAAGCAAAAGAATCAAGAGCAAAAATAAACTATTGGAACCTCATCAAGATTAAAAGCATCTGCACAGCTAAGGAAACAATCCATAAAACTAATAGGCAACCAACGGAATGGGAAAAGATAGTTGCAAATGACATATCAGATAAAGGGTTAATATCCAAAATCTATAAGGAACTCCCCAAACTCCACACCCAAAAAACAAACAACCCAGTGAAGGAATGGGCAGAAGATATGAACAGACACTTCTCCAAGGAGGATATCCAGATGGCCAACAGACACATGAAACAATGCTCAGCATCCCTCCTCATTGGGGAAATACAAATCAAAACCACACTGATATACCACCTCACGTCAGTTAGAGTGGCTAAAATGAGCAAATCAGAAGACTCTAGATGCTGGCGAGGATGTGGAGAAACGGGCACCCTCCTACACTGTTGGTGGGAATGTAAACTGGTACAGCCCCTCTGGAAAACAGTGTGAAGGTTCCTCAGGAAATTAACAATAGAACTCCCCTATGACCCAGCAATAGCACTGCTAGGAATTTACCCAAGCGATATAGGAGTGCTGATGCATCGGAGCACATGTACCCCAATGTTCATAGCAGCAGTCTCAACAATAGCCAAAACAATGGAAAGAGCCTAAGGGTCCATCAACGGACGAACAGATCAAGAAGATGTGGTTTATCTATACGATGGAATACTACATGGCAATGAGAAAGAATGAAATCTGGCCTTGTGTAGCAACAGGGATGGACCTTGAGGGTGTTATGCTGAGCGAAATAAGTCAGGCAGAGAAGGACAAATAACATATGTTTGCACGTATAGGAAGATTAGGAGGAACTTAACAGAGGACCAAGGGGGGAAATAGTGGGGGAGAGGGAGAGAGGCAAACCATGAGAGACTCTTGAATGCTGAGAACAAACTGAGGACTGAAGGGTGGGTGGGGGGAGGGGGGAGATGGGCATGGAGGAGGGCACTTGTGGGGATGAGCACTGGGTGTTATATGGAAACCAACTTGACAATAAACTATTTGTAAAAAAAAAAAAAAAATCAGATGCCTAAATGACTGAGCCACCCAGGTGCCAAGCCACGTGAATTTTATTCACAAATGAAAAACAATGCAGAAAGATCAATTTGCTTACATTTTCCTAAATGACAACTCTATTCTAGGCCAATGACAAGTGCAACTTCAGGGTCTGCTACCTATTTAGATTCAAAGCCAAGAGCAAACACCAATGGTCACTTCTGAATCCACTGTAAGCTATGGACTAGAGTGAACATTACATGCCACATCTCTTTCACTCTCTGCCTACTGAAAAAACAGCACTGCCGTTTGCTGACCTGTCAGCTCAGGGATAGACCCGACTGATCAAAAGATAACCCCACGTGACTGATTCAGGAATGGGCATAGGACCCAATTCTGGACTCTGAAAAACCAGAGGAGGTTGCTAGAGTTACTTGATCGATACAAAAAAGGCAAATCCAGACACTACCAGCGCTATCAGAATTTTATTTGCAAATGGAAAAATGCAAGTAATACCTTCAGAGCGTTGTAAGGGAACAAACTGAGCCTTATGTTGAACATGAACAAGAAAGCCACCACCTATTGATATGACAGCATCCTATGATCAACGATGAAAGAGGAGACCATTGATAAAAGCTAACATAAAGGAGGGCAGAGATGAGAGACTTACAGAGAAACAGAGCCTGAACTATGCCAGCCAAACTCCCAACTCTATGGTAAATGAGTAATATTCCCTACTATTTCTTTAAAATGTTTATTTATCTTTATGTGGGGCTTGAATCCACGAACCGTGGGATCATAACCTGGGCTGAAGTCAGGCACCTAACCGACTGATCCACCCAGGCACCCCAAATACTCCTTGATAATAAAGCCGGCCAGAATCAGGTTTCTTTACTTCAGAATCCATTTGTGCTCGAGATCCCGTAATAAACTTGTATTGTTTTTGTAATCAGAAATATATATACTTAAAATATCAATGAATAAGGGAAAACAACAAATAAATAAATGTAGGCCACGCTCAATGAGGGCTTATCAGAGAAATAATAATGATACCCTCCACAATCTTTTGCTAGATATTACTACATACACCTCCTTCTCATAGTATGTGATATTTTTAATTAAAATTGAGTCTGTACGTTTTAGAAAATGTTCGTATACTCTAATTGCACAAAAAGTATAGTCAGGATGAAATACATAGGATGGAATGGGGATTAAGGGAGGGCAGGCTGCCAAGCTTCAGAGGCTTTCCCTCTCCCCCTCCCCCACCCAAGATTCCGCACCAATTCTCATCACAGTAATAAACTGAACAGTTTGAAAGCCATAACAATATGCTCGTCCTGGACAAGATGACCTCTTTAAACAGGGAAAATGTTTTACTGCACTCCACCGAAAAACCTATTTGTTATTTTCAATGTCAGAATTGTCTTAATCATTGGTTACTGCAATCTCCCCTGCCTTAGTGCTGGGTTTGTGTTTGTGTGGGTAATTAGAGCTGTTAGTTGCCATTCAGTCCAGAAGTTTTCAAGAACTAAAGTCAGACTATTAGGGGAATTTTCTCACATTCCTTCCTGACTCTATTAATGATGTGGGACTCTGGCCTGTCTTCTCAAGTCTCGGTCCCTTCTCCTGCCTCCTCACTGAACCTAGACCCATACAAGTTTCTTTTTTCTCTATTTGTATACCCAGGCTGTCGAATGTGGCAACACACACGCACACACTCAAAAAACCAATGAAGGTGAGTGCCAGGCACACCTCTGGTCTTGAAAAGCTACTGCCCCTGTCCATCTCCTAACCCTGTTCTCCAAGGCCCTACACACAAACCTAGTGGGCAGTATTCTCTTTTCTTCCACCTTTCACCTCCTCCACAGGCCAGAACTGCTTCAATGTCCTACCCTCCAGAAGCAAATGTATCTGTGTTGCCAACCACCATGATATTTTTTCCTCTTAAGTCAGACAGAAGAAGGAGCATGGCCCTCCCTGTGTAATTAATACTACATAGATAACAAGAGAGACACAATATACTGTGCCTCTCATCCTACATAAAGTTATATGTTCTATTTGTGCTCTAGATCCCATTATCTCTTCTCCTTGGCCCATTAATCCCTCTCCCCACCCCCACCCCAGTTCTATTTTTTTTTTTTAAATAAATATTTACTTTTAAGAGTGTGAGCGGGGAGGGCCAGAGGGACAGAGGATCCGAAGCAGGCTCCTCACAGACAGCACAGAGCCCGAAGTGGTACTCGAACTCACACACCATGAGATCATGACTCTGGCCAAAGTCAGACACTTAACCAACTGAGCCACCTATGTGCCCCTCCCCTCCAGCTTCTTAATTATCACTTTCCCCTCAAATTCAACTTCCTCAGACTTCAACTTCCAGAATCAGTAAGATTCACCCTTCCACCCGAAACAACTTTTTTAAAAAAGTCCAACATATATGAAAAAATTATTTTCCAGACACTGGACATTAGGCAACAAATGACAATGATGCCTGAAAGGAAATACAGGGAGTGATCCTTTGCTTGCATCCTTGAAAGCATTTCCAAGCTGCAACATAGAGAGCAGAACCCAGGTAGGGCCTGGCCAACTGCTCAACTTGAAGAGATGTAGCTGAGTCTTGAAAGACCAAGGTGAATCTACAGGACAGAGTGACAGGAAGAGAGGTACAGAGAGACACAGATCTCAGGACACTTACAGAGGATCCCACTCGCATACTCGGCAGAGTACTGGAGGGCACGAGTGCATGATGAAACTTCTGGAGGTGGAATAAAAAACCACCTGAAACCATGAAAGACAATAGTAATCTGAGCTCCCACGGAGCCAGAATGTTTGGGGACACAGACATTCAATCTAGAGCAAAACCCAATAAACAGAGAAATACCATAATTAAGTTGGACCTGAGAAGTACCACAAGTAACAAAAGTAAAAGGACAGATAGCATCATCTTATATAGAATTACTCCATAAATTTTGGTGTCCTATGAATTTGTGCAGTGGGTGTCAGAGTTGGGGGTGGGAGGGATACTATTAAGTTCCTTCCCAGTGCCAGGCACTTGAGAGGGTTCAGGAAGACACTGTCCCTGCCCTTGTGTGACATTCAGGAGTCTTCAGAACAGATTCCTCATCTCCCTCCTCTGAAATATTTCAGCTTTTTGCCAGGAGTCATCTATGAGGTCCTCTCCCTGAGTAAGCTTTACTTCATCTCTCTAACTAGTATAGAGTAGCCTGCTTTCCTTTCTTTACAGTACTTTTCACAATTTATATCATTTATTTCATATCATTTACTGTATGATTATGATTACTCATTATTTTCTCCTGTGCCCATTTAGAATATGAGCTCCTTAAGTGAAGAAACCATGTCTGTCGTCTTCACCACTGTACCTTTTGTGACAATGCAATATATAACCATTGAAGGCATCCAAACACTTACTGAGTAAAGGGAAACAAAAGCTATGACCAGGATAAGTTTTCTAATGACCGGCATTTCCCAGGCTACTTAGCTCCAAATCTTTAGATTTGGTTCTCTTAGTTAGGAAGGAGTATATGAAGTACTCACCTCTACCTGAGTAACATTGATGACCAGCACCACCACCATCAGCACTGCAAGCAGACAGCAGAAAAGCCGTAATTTGAAGAAATTGATCCACATTGTCTGGCTGTGTCTTGATCACCCATGGCCGACGCCATGCTACCTTCACTCCTCAAAACTCCATTTCTTTGTTCTTCTGAGCTGCAGATAAGCTTTGAATTTAATTTGCTTCTTTTCTGCTAGTATCATGAAGAGTTCTTTGTACAGAGAAGAGGCTGGGGTTGATTTAAGAAGCACATTTTTCTTCAAAGGACTCCTTCAAAGAGGGGAGATGAGAACACAGATTACCAATTGCAACAGCCTTGGGTGGGGTGAGAGGAAAGACATGACATTTCTTCTTCTTTAACCTTCTCAAAGGCCCAGAGTCATGAGGAGAAAGCAAAGAGTGAGAGCACAGTGAGATGTGTTTCATATCCAGACAATTTGCTCAAACCCAACCCCAGGCTTCCACATAAATACAGTGATATTTGTCCCGCAAACTATTTAGGTTTTGACTTTTTAAAAAGGCAAAGAACAATGTCTTCAAACTCTTAAAGTTAGAAAATTAAAGTAACTGTTCAACTTCTAGAGGTCTAAGTAAATAAAATCCCTTCCCTTCCCTTATAGTTGATAGTAATTGTATTTGAAGAGCGTTAGGAGGAAACCTTGTGATTTTAGGAGGAGTTCTGGGATACTGTGCAAAGCATCCTGACCTCATCTAGAAAACAGTGCTGTCCCTTTGCGTGGGTTGGCCGGAGACAGGAAACGCCCTTTGGATTTCCAGCTCGCTCAGCACAGATGTAGAACTGGTGCTCCCTGAGCTGAGTAACAGGGGACAGGGGAAGATACTTGGCCTGAAGATGCAGGAGAGAAAGCTAAGCCCAAAGATTAAGAGGACACCCAAATCCCTCATCATAAACACCAGAGGCAGAGGACTTCAGAGCCTGCCGCTCCTAAGTTCTCCCACATAAGCAATTCAAAATGCTCCTCCCCTTCTTATTTTGACATAGGTAAGCAGAATAAGTACTAGTATTTTATTTCTAGCGAGGTTTTCCATGGAGGGCAGAGTGGAGAAGGCAAGGTGAAAGGGTGCATAACTGCAGTGGGAGGATCTCAGAACACCTCGGCTGCACCAGCACTCCCCGCAGCCCGGTACCAGGCCTGGCAAGTCCCTCTGCTCCCTCACTCCTCCACCCCACCACTCCAATGCATTTCCATGCCACAGGGACCAGACAACCCTTCCTCACCTCCGCTTCATAAAAGGGTCAGGGCTAAGCCATTCTGGCATGCTCTCCATCCTCTGAATTCCCACAGCACTTTCCTCTCTTTTCACTTCTCAGTGATTTCACTTCTCTGTATTTGTAGTTCTTGTCTCCATAACAAGACTATACCAATTATGATTATATTTTTTAAAAAAAATAGGGGCACCTGAGCAGCTCAGCAGGTTAAGCGTCCAACTTCAGCTCAGGTCATGATCTCATGGTTGGTGAGTTCAAGCCCCTTGTTGGGTTGTGCTGACAGCTCAGAGCCTGGAGCCTGCCTTGGATTCTGTATGTCTCTCTCCCTCTGACCCTCCCTAGCTCAGCGCTCTGTCTCTCTCTCTCAAAAATAAATAAATATTTAAAAAAAACTGTAAACACAAACCAGAAACCATGTATCAGAGAAAAAGCAGTTTCATGATAACAATGTATCATACCTCCTTGATTCCCTCACAGTTCATCCTCCCTTATGTGTTATATGTTGATTCAACAATCCACACCACAAATAATCATGGAAGCCTGTTCTGTACCACACACCGTAGTAGGTGCCAGAAATTCCCAGGGAAAACTAACACTCATATTAGGGAAGAGGTGGTTCCCCTCCTAAATTAAATCAGAATAGATCCACCACTCCTGGCAACCTCTATAGGGATACAATGTACTGTGCAAGACTGCACTTAACCATTTGATGACCCCTCAATACCACCCCTCTCCAACACCAGGGCACCCACTCACCCCAAAGTGCCTATAAATTCTGGAAAGGAATGGCAGTGAAATAGAACAAATAACTGTCAACCAGGCACACTGCTCCTCTATAGAAACCCTTCTCGAGGAGTTGTGTGTAAAAATCATAGGTTTCTCTTATGTCCAGAGAGGGAAAAGACCAATAATGATGTTCTACAGAAATTCAGCAGCACCACCGGAAGCACAGTCTGTGTATGGAAATGCCAGCAGTTTAGAGAGAACATCAGTGTTATTCAGAGCCAGTTAGCAGCAGCACAGTGGTGGTCAGGGGTGCAGAAGGATGGCAAGGGCAGCAGACCCCAGAGCTACAGAGACTACAGGGATATAGGTAGCAACGCAAATATGCAAGAAGCCCCTCACAGCCAGGGACTTCTACTGAAAATCATTATCGGAGGGTCATGCCTAGAAAAGACCTGACTTTCCGCTATGAGCAAGTACAGCACTGAGATTTGAAGAGACTCATCTCCACATCTAAGGAGATGTGGCCTGGGGCACACTGAGACCTCTCTTTTAAAAAAAATTTTTTTAAATGTTTATTTCTGAGAAGGAGGGGGCAGGGGCAGGGAGAGAGAGGGAGACATAGAATCAGAAGCAGGCTCCAGGCTCCGAGCTGTCAGCACAGAGCCCGATGCAGGGTTTGACCCCATGAACCACGAGACCATGACCTGAGCTGAAGTCGGCCTGAGACCTCTCTTTAAAAAGACATATAATATTAGGGGTGCCTGGGTGGCTCAGTCGGCTGAGGATCTGACTTTTGATACCGGCTCAGGTCACGATCTCAAGGTCTTGAGATTGAGTCCTGTGTTGGGCTCTGTGATGACAGTGTGGACCCTGCTTAGGATTATATCTCTCCTTCTATCTCTGCCCCTCCCTTGCTCATACTCTCTCCCTATTAAAATAAATATTTTTTAAAAGATATATATTAAAATGTTGATAGGTATCATCTCTGAGCAGTTTCTGTTTTTCTCCTTCATCTTTATCTCTGTGCCTTAATTTTCCACCAGGAAATAAAAATCACAAATATAAAGAAAAAAGTAGATTTCTAAAAGTAATAATTAAAGATAAGCCATAAGGAGAAACAGAATATTAAAGCAAACATATTGAACAACTTGAAAACAATTCAAGTTAAAATGAAAATTTTCAGGGGCACCTGGGTGGCTTAGTCGGTTAAGCGTCCGACTTTCGCTTAGGTCATGATCTCGCGGTTCATGGGTTCGAGCCCCGCGTTGGGCTCTGTGCTGACTACCAGCTCAGAGCCTGGAGCCTGTTTCAGAGTCTGTGACTCCCTCTCTCTCTGACCCTCCCCTGCTCACGCTGTCTCTCTCTCTCTCCTAGAAATAAATAAATAATTAATTAATTAATAAAAAAATTTTTTAAAAAAATGAAAATTTTCAGGAGCTCCTGGGGTGCTCAGTTCCTTAAGCATCTGACTTCAGCTAAGGTCATGGTCTCATGGTTCCTGAGTTCAAGCCCTGCATCTGACAGCTCAGAGCCTGGAACCTGCTTCGGATTCTGTGTCTCCCTCTCTCTCTGCCCCTTCCTCGGCTTGTGTTCTCTCTCTCTCTTTCTCTCTCTCAAAAATAAATAAATAAACATTTAAGATAAATAAAAAATTTTAAACATTTAAAATAAACATTTAAAACATTTTTTTAGGAGTTTAAGTTTATTCTTGAAAAAAAGTCTCAGCCTCCCTGCACCGCCGGTAAAGGTTTCCCCAGGGAGCCCCGGCCCTCCAAATGGTCACTGATCTTTTCGACCGCAGCTCCAGCCAAGACGGCTCACTAGGACGCGGCTACTTGGGTGAGGGGCTCCTCCAGGCACTGCACCAGAGTCTGGGCCTTGGCCTGGAGCATCCCAAAGCCCACAGTCTCCTTGGCGTACATACACAGCAGAAGGTTGGCCATCCGTGTGATGGCTACAAGGCCCTCCATGCAGGCCATGAGGATGGATTTGAGATTGTCTTCATTAAAGGCTTGGTTCCCGTTCCGGTCGTAGGTAGCCCAGAGGTTGCTGGCGATGGCCGCAGTGACCACGTGTCTATATCCCCGCAACCAGAGTAGGCCAGGAGAGAGCCCTGGTTATTCAGCAGCAGCGTGCTCTGAACGCCCCCGGTGTTGGTCTGGCTTAACACCTGGGTCAAAGCCTTGGGACAGCAGCATGCCTGCGGCTTCCACACCCCCACTTCTGCGCCAGCCCAGGAGCCACCTCCCACGGGCCTCCACAGACTTTTTTTTTTTTTTTTACTTCAATCACTTTAGTTGAAAATCCTTAGTAATTTAACATCATGGTTCCGTTCTTGCGCTGGTAGCTGATGAAGCCTAGGGTTGCCACAAGGCTTGCTAAGGCAGCCTTGAGAGCCTGCTAAGGCATTTATTGAGACTACTTGCCAGCCAATCTAACTTCTTTATGGTCCATCACAACAACCCTAGATTGCCGTTACCTACTGGACCTCAGCCACCCCTTTCATGAGAGAATTACAAAGTGATCCCTTATATCATTAACAGTGTCAGTAACATCAATGAGATAGTTGAGTTAGTACTAAAGAGAAAATTAGGCAGTAAACCCATCCTCTAGGGAACTAATGTTCTTTTCACAAAGACATTGTATTAGAGGATAACCACACATCAGTTTCTGGCACAAACCCCTTCCTAAATACTCTGAACTGCTATCCACATTTATATAATTGTACTTGTCAGACCAAGTGTCTAGAATTTCAATTCAGAAAACGCAGACCAGGGGCGCCTGGGTGGCTTAGTCGGTTAGGCGTCCGACTTTCGCTTAGGTCATGATCTCGCGGTTCGTGGGTTCAAGCCCCGCGTCGGGCTCTGTGCTGACTGCCAGCTCAGAGCCTGGAGCCTGTTTCAGTCTGTGTCTCCCTCTCTCTCTGACCCTCCCCTGCTCACGCTGTCTCTCTCTCTCTCTCTCCTAGAAATAAATAAAAATATTTAAAAACAGGGGCGCCTGGATGGCTTAGTCTGTTGAGCGTCCGACTTTCGCTTAGGTCATGATCTCACGGTTCATGGGTTCGAGCCCCGCGTCGGGCTCTGTGCTGACTGCCAGCTCGGAGCCTGGAGCCTATTTCAGTCTGTGACTCCCTCTGTCTCTAACCCTCCCCTGCTCATGCTGCCTCTCTCTCTCTCCTAGAAATAAATAAAACATTAAAAAATTTTTTTTTTAATATTTAAAAACAAAAACAAAAAACAAAAAAGAAAACACAGACCAGGGTGCCTGGGTGGTTGAGTCGGTTGAGTGTCCTACTTAGGCTCAGATAGTGATCTCACAGTTGGTGGGTTGTGCCCTGCATCGGGCTCTATGCTGACAGCTCAGAGTCTGAAGCCTGCTTCAGATTCTGTGTCTCCTTCCCTCTCTACCCCTCCCCTGCTTGTTCTCTCTCTCTAAAAAATAAATAAGCATTAAAAAAAAAAAAAAGAAAACACAGACCCCCCCCCACATGAGACAAATGACAGATTTATAAGGAATATACCCAAATGTAAATGCTTATATATCAAACTTTCCAAGTTGCAGCTATATAACTCATAAATACACAGAACAAATGGGTGGTTGCCAGAGGTGAGGGTAATGGGGGGATGCCCAAAATAGGTGAGGCGGATGAAGAGGTACAAACTTCTGGTTACCAAATAAGTAAGTTATGGGGATGCAAACATAGCACAGGTAATATAGTGAATAATTTTGTAATAACTTTGTATGGTGACAGGTGGTAACGATGCTGGTCATGCTGATCATTTCATAATGTACAGCAATGTCAAATCACTGTGATGTACACCTGAAACTAATATTGTTATGTCAACTATACTTCAATAAATAAATGACAAAGAGCAGCTGTATTTCATAGGATATAGAGTAAGACCTTGAAATTTAACAGGCCAGGATCTAGAGAAAGAACTGGAGACCTATCCACGACCATGACAATGATGGACCACCAAACAAGGTCAACCCTTGGACAAAGATGAAGCATAGCAGGTCTACAGACTTGGTTCCTCTGATTCTCTTTCTCTTTCATGTTCCCTCATTTCACACGCCCAAAGTGCTGACTCACCTAGGACTTCCCTTGCCCTTCCTCCAAAGCAGCACCCCATGCTTTCATGGAGGGGAGGGGTTGAGAAGTAAACAAATCAGTTAAATAAGTCACAGAGTGTTAAGTGCTATAAGAAAAAATAGAGCACATTGATAGGTTGTGTCCTTTAACCTTGCATGCCCATGAATATCATCCTGTAGGCTTTTAACAACACCAATGTCTAGACTAGACTCAACTAACTGAATCAGAATCTGTGGGAGCAGAGCCCAGAAAACAGATTTTTTAAAAAGGTCTCCAAATATTATAATATTTTAATCATACTATATAGCCAAGTAGGGGAACCACTAGTATGTGGTCTCCAGGGGTGTTACTTGTATCACCCGGTCAGGGATGGCCTTTCCAAAATGATCTCTGAAATGCAACTTACACTGTCCCCTCGGGACAATCCGAATCCAGGGCAATAGGGACAGCCAACCTCACTTCAGTTTCCTTTCTCAGTAACAAATAACAGCACTGTATCAGGCAAGGGATTGTGAAGGAGAGAAGAAACTAAGCACAGTCAAAGGAAAGCAGAACCCAAACATTATGCAGGAATAATAATGTGTTGCTGCCTCCAGTGCATGGAATCAGACAATTAATGATAAGGGTCTGGGAGTTCCGCCAGCTTCAAGCACACCCTGATGTTCCAAATGATAACCACAGTGAGGAGGAAGAAGGCCCATTGAGCAGTGTGCTTCTTCATCTTTAGGAAATATGGCAACAATCCTCCTTTAGAGTAAATAATGAAAAGAAAGGAAAATTTTACAGACAATCACGCACAAAATTCATATAAATCCTGACTGAGAATGCCTCTTACCACCACCCTAGTGGCCTTTGATCAAGCAGAAATGGGTGACAGGCCAGGGTTTCCACATCACACCTTGCAAAGTCACACTCTTCTCTCCCCATACGACCTGAATCTGGTGTCCCAAAGCGTCAGCTCAGTAATGCCAGAAGAGTCCAAAGTGTGAGAGCATCGCCAGGCAAGTGGCAGCTGGGGCCCGCAGCAGAAATGAGACCGGAGATTGGGGCTGAGGAGGAATGCGTCGCCAAACGCACCGCACCGGGTTAGGGAGGCGTCTTTGGCAGCCGCACCTGCTCGCGCTGCAGCAAGTCCAGAAAACTGAGGACAGAGATGCTCGTGCCAGCCCCGCCCCTCCCTACCGAGACCTGCAGCGGCGGCAACTCAGGTCCGAGGCTGCCAGGGACTGCAGTTCTGCCCCCTCCAAGGGCCTGAGCCTCCCCTTTCTGGCTCCAGCGCCCCCAGCCGTGATCCCCGAGTCTGGGCTCCTCGGCACCAGGCCGGGGGCTTAGGGGCTGGCGCGCACGGCGTAAGGGGCTTCACGGACGAGAGGCGCACGCGAGGAGCCAGGCAATGGGTCGCTTGAGCGGCAAGGTTCCAGCCGGCGCCCCGTGAAATCCGCAGTCCCGCACTCACCTCCAGGCCCTGCTGCTCTCCTGGCGCTCTCCGGCCGCCTGGCATCGGGACGCCCAGATCTGTAGCCACTGCGCCAGACCGCCTGGCCCCTGCTTCCTGGCCCCGCTACGTCGCCTCACCCCCAACTCCCGGCTACGATTGGTCGAACTCCGGGAGGGGCGGGCCGAGGACGCTGACTGACAGCCGCGTGCGGAGCGCGAACCTCTGAGCTGGGAGGCGAGGAAGCTTTGGGATCCTGGCTCCTGCGCAAAAGGGGTCGCCTGGCTGTACCGCTGTGGCCTGAGCTCTCGGGACCGGCTCCTCTGGCATTCGAACAGAATAGTTTCCTAGGGATACTCGGTTTCAAGGCTTTTTTTTTTTGTCAGCGAAAGTGACCAAACCGGAGAAGCCCCTACTTGGGCCATCTTTCCTGTCGGTGGCGAAATTTATTTGTTTCCTCTACCAGAAAACACTATTGGCCAAGCACCAGCACCGAGACGGCAGGTCCTTGAGCCTTTACCTGCTTGCAGTGAGTCGACTTATTATATTTGCCCTTTAAACAACCCCGTTCCTATTACTCTCCCTTTCTATGGCATAGGACTTCGGACAAAAATGCCTGCATGCGTCCTCCCCCCCCGCCTAGTTCTGGGTTATCCTATTTTGGACATTCTTCTAAGCGGCAAAATGTGCACAGCTGTGCGACATTCAGAAACTGAGAGGAGTCCTTGGAAGACAGACAGAAGGCCTGCTCAGAAAGCTGGAAGGGATTGCGGCCTGCCCTGTGTTCTTCAGTGCACACGGGAGTTGGAATTTATCCGAGCAAAATGCAGACTCTAAAAATAGACCTACCCCCAGACTATTATCTCAAGGTTGAAGAAGAATTAATATAAACTGCAACTACCGCTAATTATTTTTACATTTACTGACCACAATGGACTCTACGTGCTCATTCAAATGTTTTCATGGCAAGACTACATGCATGGGTGCCTAGACCTCTAAATGGAATACAAGGATGTTCTACACAGGGCAGTCTCTTCTGCAGTATCCATTTCATTCTCCTTCCTGGAGAAATTCAGCCTTCCAGGGCCTACTCATAAAAGGTGGCTTCCGATGGATGCCTCAGTGCGGGATGAAGAGCCCCATAAGACAAACTTATGCTCTAAGTCTTATCTCCAGACACCCCATCAGCTAATCTTTCACAATTAGGCTGCATGGCAAGTGGCAAATACTTGAAGAGGATATTCTGACTTCTAGGTCATGGTTTTGGATCACATTAGTGATTCCTGATAACCCTATTCTCACACAGGTACTCATAACCCTGAGGCATTTGATTTACTATATACATATTATATATATAATGTATGTATATTATATATTATATTATTGTATAGCCACAAACAAGAATGCCTAGGACCAGAGAGGCCTGCCTATCACTGCTAAATTCGTTCAAATAACTCTGACTACAAAGTCACCACACTCCCAGTGAAAAATACTATCATACAGAAAATATGTGATTTGGATCCCAGCCTAACTGGGTCTGACATATAGCTTTGCCTCTTAAGAGCAGTGCCACGCTAGGCAAAGTACTTAACTCCTCTGGGCTCAGTTCCTTAACTGTAAATTAGGGGCAACACTACCTGCATTTAGGAATAAATGAAATGACAAATGAAAAGTCCTCTAGCACAGTGTCCCAAAACTTTTCCTCTGAAATCCCTTACCTCAGGTTATGACATGGCATAAGGAATTTCTGAATGCTACATTTATGATCATCTAACTTTGAGAACTGGGGGAAAAATGAGAACATAAGGTTTGTATGATGACATACAAACCAAAGAAACTGTTCACTTCCAACCTATCTGCATAAAAGTTTAGATGCTAATGTTACTAAACTTTATTTCTCTAAGAAAAACAAAGCATGGCTCTTTTAACGTTAGATAAGCAAAAAAGCAAACTAAGCCTGTTTCTGATGCGGCTAACTTGGTGGATATTTACCAGCCATCTGGCTCCATCTCTGATGGCAGAAGCTTGGGGCACAAGCACTTGTGAGCCCATATCAGTTCTTTTTTTTTTTTTTTTTTTCCTGCGAGAGAGACAGTGTGAGCAGGGGAGGGTCAGAGAGAGTGGGTGACATAGAATCTGAAGCAGGCTCCAGGCTCTGAGCTAGCTGTCAGCAGAGCCCGACGTGGGGCCTGAACCCACAAACTGTGAGATCATGACCTGAGTCAAAGTTGGATGCTTAACCGACTGAGCCACCCAGGTGCCCCGAGCCCATATCAGTTCTTGTTTCAGTTCTTTTGCTTCTTTAACCCTTTAAACACGTTACTAAAATTTAGGTCTCCAAACTTCTCAAACCATTGTTCAAAATAAGTGATGACTGTCATATTAGGTACCAACCATCCTATCCCCAAAACACCATGAACCACAGGAAAATGCTGCCAAGGGTAGGAGACTAGAAGGAAGAGGTATTTTGTGCCTGTTTAGTCTGTTCAGGCTGCCATAATAAAATACCATAGACTAGATGGCTTGAACAACAGACATTTATTTTCTCACTTCCTGGAAGCTAGAAGTCCCAGATCAAGGTGCTAGTTGATTTGGGTCCTGGTGAGAGCTCTCTCCTTGGCTTGTAGATAAACACCTTTCTATGTCTCCCTTTTTTTTTTTTTTCCTTCAGGAACTGTGTGTGCTATTTCATAGGTGGAGGGGCTAGGACTCAGGCACGTGGAGGCCTCAGGAGCTCTGCTGAACAGTGCGGACCTTCTCCTGCTGCTTCCATACCCTGTCTTTGAATTCTTCTAGCTCTCAATGCTGGTCCTCCTTCATAGGTAGCCTCAGCTCCCTCTTGTGCTGTGTGACATAGTCCTCAAACCACTCAGCCTGACAGGCAATCCAGAAAAGAGTCACAGGGAAGTGAGGTACAGTGTCGTCTGAAGCACTTCTACTTTCACCTCCATCTGGTTTCTCCATTCTCCTCCTCTTATAAGGACACCAGTCTCATTGGATTAGTGCCCTACCATTATGACTTCATTTAACCTTAATTGCCTCTTGCTGGGAAAGGCAGTCTTATGCATGCAGTCTTTCATACATATGGCCTTGGCCTGGAACACTTCCTTACCAAGAGATGGAGTCCTCACAACTTGTGTTGGATGTTTTGCCTGTGTGGGACTTTATGTATTCGTTTTGCTTAAGACACCTGAGAGCTCCTTAGCTCCTTCCACCATGTGATGATACACAAAGAAGGTGGTCATCTATGAATCAGAAAGTTATCCTCATCATGGGGCGCCTGGGTGGCCTAGTCGGTTAAGCGTCCAACTTTCGCTCAGGTCATGATCTCGCGGTTAGTGGGTTCGAGCCCCGCGTCGGGCTCTGTGCTGACTGCCAGCTCAGAGCCTGGAGCCTGTTTCAGTCTGTGACTCCCTCTCTCTCTGACCCTCCCCTGCTCACGCTGTCTCTCTCTCTCTCCTAGAAATAAATAAAACATTTAAAAAAAAAAAAAAAAAAGAAAGTTATCCTCATCAGACACTGAATCTGTTGGTACCTTGATCTTGGACTTCCTAGCCTAGAACTGTGTGAAATAAATTTATGTTGTTTATAAGCCACTCAGTCCATGGTATTCTGTTATAGTAGCCTAAATGGACTGACATTTATACTATCCACTCAAAACAATTTTCCAAAATTCTTAGGTCATCTCCCTTTTCCTGTCCCTTCAGTGAATTTATGTTGTCATACTCCACACTCCATCCCAAGATCCCCTGACATTCTACTTGAAATTTTGGGGGTAAAATTTACAGGTAATAAAACTTCAGTCTTTGGGTACTATTCTATGAGTTTTGAAGGTCAGTATGTGATGATAAAGGAGTCAATTCATCAAAAAGATCTAACAATTATAAATATTTATGCATCCAACATCAGATATGTTACATAAATATATAAAGCAAATACTATCAGAACTAAAAGGAGAAACAGAGAGCAATTCAATAATAGTTGGGGACTTTAAATAATTTTTTTTTTATTTTTATTTATTTCTAGGAGAGAGAGAGAGAGACAGCGTGAGCAGGGGAGGGTCAGAGAGAGAGGGAGATACAGACTCTGAAATAGGCTCCAGGCTCTGAGCTGGCAGTCAGCACAGAGCCCGATGCGGGGCTCAAACCCATGAACCTCGAGATCATGACCTAAGCGAAAGTCGGACGCCCAACCGACTAAGCCACCCAGGCGCCTCAGTTGGGGACTTTAATATTCCATTCTCAACAATGGATAAATTATCCAGACAGAGAATCCGTAAGGAAACAGCAGATTTGGACAATAGTAAACACCAAATAGATCTAATAAACAGATACAGAACATTACATCCAAAGGCAGCAGAACACATTCTTTTCAAGGGCACATGGAACATTTTGTAGGGTAGATCATGTTAGGTCACAAAACGTGTCTCAACAAATTAAATAAGATAGAAATTATACCAAATTGTAGAAACTAATTTGACAATAAACTATTTGTAAAAAAAAAAAAAAAAAAAAAAAAAAAAAAAAAAAAAAAAAAAAACATTAAAAATTTGTAAGGAAAAAAAAAAAAGAAATTATACCAAATATGTTTGCCAACCACAGTGAAATAAAATGAGAAATCAATAACAGAAAGAAAACTGTAAAATTCACAAATACACAGAAATTAAACATATTCCTAAACATCTAATGAGTCAAAGTAGAAATTAAAAGGATATAAAAAAATATCAAGACAAATGAAAATTGAAAGATGAAATATCAAAACTTGAGATGCAGCAAAAGCAGTTCTCAGAATTGTGTCAACTATTTCAAGTTTAAATTTTTTAAATTTAATAATAAAAAATAAAAAGAGCATCAGTGCAGAAGGATCTATACTCCAAGGAACAGAATAAAGGAGTAAAAGGGTAGGACAGGGAGGGAATGATAACTGGTAAATGATCAGACTTGTTAAATTATTTGGGGAAAGCTTCTTAAATGTGTACAGCAATCTAGTGGAGCATCTAGAAAAAATAAGAGTGGGTATATGTTCATGGGACTGAAAAAAATAAGGCAGTTTTTAATTCTAAGAAATTTGTTTAAAAATACAAGAAAGGAATTCTC